GCCTTACATCACACGGTAGCGACTATTAACAAGAAACTAGATACATAATGAAATAACTTCAAATTACAACTTATTGATGAAATTAATAAATTTAAAGCGAAACTGTGAAAAAGCATGACAATTTAAAGAATCTTAAAGAAATCAGTATCGCAACAAATAAAACGTACAGATTCATCTCATGATGAGTATAGGAATGAAAACCATAACTAATCAAAGAACAAGACTCGAATTCCAGGAAGCATATGTAAGCGATTGTGGAGTCGTGTTAAATGAAGGGTCGTCAGAGCCAAAGAGCTAAGCAAAATATTACCGGGACGCCACCGCTTGGGCTTGGAACAGCCATTTGCTGGCCCTGTCCGCCGGGGGTCCCTTGATGGCCCGGACTGGGACCAGCTGAGTTGGAAGGAGGTCCGGGTGGGGGACCACTTGACTGAGCACCGGGAGTGCCGGGAGGACAATTGGGGGGAAGGCCACCGGGACCAGGAGCTGAACAGACTACAACAGGAGGCCCAGCTCCAGGGGGAGGATGGCCTCCAGGGGGCGGGGGACCAGAAGGATACCAGCCACCACGTGCTCTAGGCGGGGGTCCGTGTGGACCAGGGTGATGATGCATTGGATGGCCCTAAAATGGGCAAAACTTAGAAGTCTAGCTCATAGGTTTAAGTAGTCAAAGCTACCACTTTAAGTATACGATTAAGCATAAGTAAATGAACACAGTATACAAACATACACACCTAAGAAGTAGCATAGAATGAAAGAAAATTACCTGAGGCATTAAATGACTAGGGGGACCATAACCTCCTGGAGGTCCAGGTGGCTGGTGAAACCGCATACCACTGGCAGCAGATACGGGTCCTTGGGGGGCAGATGGACCTCCAGCAACAGAATGCTGGGAGCCACCGGGTTGAGGTGGACCGGGGGGAGGCATCATTTGCGGAGGTCCAGGAGGGCCTGGCCGAGGACCGCCCTGACGGGGATCATTGGGGCCTCCTCCAGGGCCCATAGATGGACCAGCGTGAGGAGGCATCCCAGGGCCACCACCAGGCATGCTAACGTGGCCAGGCTGAGGATGGGCAAAAGAACAACTAGTGAATAAAAGGGATTAAGCATGTTTGAGGATCCAAGACAATGCTGACAGGAAAGTCTGATTTAATTTCTCCTCCACGTGTAAAGTTTTAAAACTCGTCGAAAACGGCAGATATTAGCATTTACGGACCAATACAAAACAAAAGAGAGTTAATTTTGAATATAATTAAGTCAACTATATTCCAGCACTGCTGAAAGAATGGTCACCAAGGTTAAACGAGGACAACGATCAAAACTCACATGCGGTAAGCCATTAGGGTAACCGGAATTGACAAAGCCCTAGAATGTAAAATATTTAGATAAAAAAACCTACGTAATCGTGAAAGGCTTTGGCCTCATTTGAGTGTTCATGTGTATCTCGCCTTTCAGGCGCAGCACTATATAAGTCCCAAAAAACACTATATACGTTTGTACAATATTAGACATTTACCTCCACCAAGAATGAAGAAATCCGGGTGGTTCTCCTATGGTGACTGACTTGTCCCAGCGAATCTACGTTAAATGGTTAGTCACAGCAGGTAAAAGCTACCTCCTGAAGGAAGGATGAGGCTGTTTTTTGGGCACCAATATGTACCAGATACTCATACACATAAATAGCGAGTCTATAAGCAAATTTATGGAGTTAGACGCGCCGTATAATGTGTCAATGTAAAAAGAGTTCAAAGAAGCTTACTTTTCTTTTGACTGGGCATCCGAAGGTACACCCGAGCCTTTACTTTTACCATACATATTTTTAAATATTCTGAGGATAAGTCATCTCAGTGTTGAATTCCTTTTTAAGTGTTCAATCCAGAATGATGAGAAAATAAGAAAAAGAGCACATAGTAAGCTGATTTGAAAAGTGGGGGATTCTACTATGAATGGACGAAATGCAGATTAAAACAACAAGACAATAGCAAACGGTTTAAGATTCTGTTAAATTTATAATTTTCTAAAACTAATTTTAAAATAATAAAAAATTAATTGTGTTTAGCTCTAATCAAATCTAATGAATTTTTAAAAATTATAAATGAACATAGATGAGACCGAATGGGAGAGGATACACTAATGTTTTTCAATTATGTATAGAAATAACCAACTCACAAATTTTAGAAAAAAAGCTTACGAAATGCTACCATAAATTTTGGCCGGGTATAAAAGCTTGTATAATTCTAAAATTTCAGTTTAAACTGGATGGGACTATACAGCTACTTTTTACAAATATTAAAGGAACAATATGGAGGGAGAGCAAAGTATGAATTGTAAAAAACTAGTAAATAATAAACTCAATCTTTATAAGATGAAACTTTGTGTGTTGAATGAATCTGTTTTGTACTCATGAGTGAGATGTGTTCACATAGAAAAACGCAGGAAACTTTCGGTTTGTAGAAAAATTGTGTTTCGAAGAATCCCTTAATTAATTGATGTTTGGATACATTCATTTTGTTTAATGAGGCGAGTGAATGGGGTTCGTAATTTGGCCTCACCCGAAGCTGTAGAGGGATTGCCTTGGTGCTGTTACTATAGATTTATGCAAATAGGTCATCAGCGCACCGCCCTGGAACTCGATGAATCCTTGTTGAACCTTCGTCTACCATGTGGCGGACCTCGTCATAGCAGAACAATATATTTAGCGGCAAGTCACCAAAATACGAAGATAAGAAAGGTTTTTGTGTTTTGGTGGCCTCTTAAAATGAAATGAGAGACACTCCAACACTTGTTAATATATACGCAGCCTGCTAACAATTCTGTTATATTGGTTCTTAATTATAACCCAATTAGAGAATGCTAACTTGCCAAGATTTAATCGAAGTGATAAATTAATAATATATGGGGGAGTTTTCTTATATAATTTCCTATGAACTTTTTGCCTGAGAGCTATATCTGGTGTCGGCTATATTTCTGATTCTCTAATGGATATGGCTGGGGTGAAATAATATAGATTTCGGATATATTTCTGCCAAAAATCATCTCTATTTAAAATTAATATTTCCTAATATGATGACAGAAATTTAATTCTCAAGTTATTCAATGAATATAGCGCTTTTCTAAACATGGATGTTCAAAAGCCTCAATCATTCTATTTGCCTACCGAAACTTTCCTTCATCTATCCCAATCCAAGTAGAAAAATTTGTATGTTTAATTTGGACTCTTTCTATAATAATACTTGGACCTTTCCTCATATTTACTATGCTCCTTCTCGCACTTACGACCATGTGATTCTTTGAAGCTAATCAGAAGTTAGTAGGTACAAATAATAGCTGGGCTTCACCGAACCTATTGAGGTCCAATTTTCGGAGAGAATTTCATCCCTTATGTAATTTCACGCTGAAGAGCTTCTTTGATTGCTATCAGCTGAATACGACAGCAGATTCACATTGTTTAGCAGCTTTTTGGCTATAATATGACTTTAATGGCTGGAG